TATCATCAGTGTAAAGACAGTACGTATTCACAGTAATAGATACAGTCACTAGTTTTTGTTAACTAACGTGTACTTTAAAGTTTAAACTAGGGAGATGTTTAGGCATTTATTATAGAATACATATTAAACTTTCAGAACTTTGATACAAGGTTGTTTATATATAAATGCAAAATTCCATGCTGGGATATAAAATAATGCTAGCACTCTTACAAATTGCAGCCTATTTTGTGAACACATTCACTCAGTATTAAACGGAAAAATTTATCCAACTTATTGAACCAAGTTAAATTAAAACGCTATAACTAAATTCACTGCTTATATACACTTTGTCGAGCAAGATTCACCTTCACAACTCACAACGAAGCGTGCTCGCATTACATATCGCCGTCTTTTTTATAGCACATTTTCTTCGCCATTATTGCTCAGAATTTCATGACATTTCGTGTACATGTAGCCAAAAGTTACCTGGTTGTTTTGCTGTAGATAAAAGTTATGGATGGATGTAAAAAGTTTTTAAAATCCACCATTTCATCTTCGAAAAAAAATCGCTCTTGTATTTTAGCAGTCTTCGTGTTGTAGTTCAACCCCCCTGAAACCAAATTTTTACTATAAATACGTCACAAACTGTTTATTTTTTCAACCAATTGAATCGCATAATTTTTTTAAAAATATGACGAATGAAATAACCTCCGGCATCCCGCATAGGCACATCAAAATTTTCATCAGACCATGAAACGTTTGTACAAATTTTTCATCTTTCTTGCAGTCTTGAAAACAAAATTTATATGTGGGTATATAGAAAAATTATCAGAGTTCAATGTGGTATAATTTTTTATCATGTTTTATTTACGTGATTCGTCAGTTGAGATATAGTTGCCAACCTTAGGTATAATCTATATATATATATATATATATATATATATATATATATATATATATATATATATATATATATATATATATATATATATATATATATATATATATATATATATATATATATATATATATATATATATATATATATGTATATATATTCACAGCATTCAGAATTATTATGTTACGTTAGAATAATTGTTATTTGGTTAGATGGAAAACACGGAGTCGGAGTTCCGGAGTCGGAGCCCCGGAGTCGGAGTCCCGGAGTCGGAGTCCCGGAGTCTGACGTCATAAAAATATGGAAAACACGGAGTTGATATGGAAAACACGGAGTCTGACGTCAGAGAAAAATATGGAAAACAGGGAGTCATATGGAAAACACGGAGTCTGACGTCATAAAAATATGGAAAACACGGAGTCATATGGAAAACACGGAGTCTGACGTCATAAAAATATGGAAAACACGGAGTCATATGGAAAACACGGAGTCTGACGTATTGTCAGCGTGAAATATGGAAAATAGTAATTAAATAATATATAATTTATGCGAATATAAACAAACGGACGAATTTATAATAAACGATTGGAAATTTTCTGCACTAATTCTGGTATTTCTCTAAAATATCGTGAAAATATGGATTATTTATTTTTAAATACAATCAAGCAAATAATATTGTTTCTCTTGTCGTGTGACTTGTTCAGTTGTACAATATTTGAAGTGATTTTAATGCGGATTTTGTTCACCTCGCATGGTATGTTGATAAAAATATGGTTTATATACTTAATACTGCTAGAATATTTCATAGTCGATTTACATGTAATATTTATAACACAAAATCTTGACACTAAACAGATATGCTGCTTATTTAGGCCACATAAAATAAATATAGAAATTTTGTATTTCATAAAGTATTACAATGCTTTTGAAAGGGATAATTTTAAGTGAAACCCACCTGTTGTGGACTTAAAAT